TATCCTTTTTCAGTCCAATGTCAGGATCGTGTCTGCATTCCTGAGTCACCCCTTTATTGTTAGTCTCAAACAGTAAATGTAATGCTCATGGGTTTGTTTCAGTTGAGCAGCAAAACAAACATCAGTGCATGCAATAAAACTATAATCTTTCATAATAAGTGGACCATAGAAAATGTGTTTAGCCTTTTGCCTCTGTTTCCCGTGAAACACACTCAGCGCTGTTGAAAACACCATTTCCTCCCAAGAGAACAGAGTCACATTTTTATTTGTTTGTACTTTATTCAGCTTCAATTTGGGAGATTCCTGCTGCAATGGAAAGGCAATCCTTCCTCCTTTTAATTATGATTTCCAGCTTTTTGATAACTGCTTGTATATGGTCGCATGTACTAACTGACCAATGTTCTGTAATGTTTTTTGGCTTCGAATTAGAACTAAAAAATAAGTTGTCCTGTACAAAACAGAGAAGTTTCAAAGGTTTTCAAAAATGTATTCATGTGTCCGATGGATGATATATAACTCACAATTACACATTTGGATGGATGGAATACGCTTTAGAATAACATTGACATAATCTTTAAATAATACTACGTTTATGCTCCTCAACCATTTACAACATAATCCCAGTAAAGTAGTTCTTCTGATTTCATTAAAATAACTGTCTGAGAAATCAACTCATAAGGAGAATGAAAGAACTAGCCATAGAAAGGATTTGTTAAACCCTCTACAGCTAAAACATGATTGTTCTCAGTCTGTATATTAGGAGACAGGCTGACGTCACTAGCCTTAAAGAAGCTGTACCCCATTTGTTTCCTAATGAGTTCATTCAAATGTGTATTACTACATACAAGTTGTATTTTAATGTAAAACTTGAGTTCATTGATTCAGCTGTGTATGAATTCAGGCCGTAAAAAGTGCTGAGTAGAGACTTAGCGTGACGCCCGCTCTCCTCCAATCACAGAACGACTGCCTACGCTCGGACTGCCTACGCTCGGACTATCTACGCTCGGACTATCTACGCTCGGACTGCCTACGTGTAGATAGTCCGAGCGTAGACTGCCTACGCGCCTCCCTGGGGAGGTGTTCCGGGCACGTCCCACCGGGAGGAGGCCCCGCGGAAGACCTAGGACACGCTGGAGGGACTATGTCTCTCAGCTGGCCTGGGAACGCCTTGGGGTTGGACGAGCTGGAGGAAGTGTGTGTGGATAGGGAAGTCTGGGCGTCTCTGCTTAGACTGCTGCCCCCGCGACCCGGCAACGGATAAAGCGGAAGAAAATGGATGGATGGATGGATGGACTGCCTACGCTCGGACTATCTACGCTCGGACTGCCTACGCTCGGACTGCCTACGCTCGGACTGCCTACGCTCGGACTGCCTACGCTCGGACTGCCTACGCTCGGACTGCCTACGCTCGGACTGCCTACGCTCGGACTGCCTACGCTCTGACTACCTACGCTCGGACTATCTACGCTCGGACTGCCTACGCTCGGACTATCTACGCTCGGACTGCCTACGCTCGGACTGCCTACGCTCGGACTGCCTACGCTCTGACTACCTACGCTCGGACTATCTACGCTCGGACTGTCTACGCTCGGACTATCTACGCTCGGACTATCTACGCTCTGACTACCTACGCTCGGACTATCTACGCTCGGACTGCCTACGATCGGACTGCCTACGCTCGGACTGCCTACGCTCGGACTGCCTACGCTCTGACTGCCTACGCTCGGACTACCTACGCTCGGACTACCTACGCTCGGACTGCCTACGCTCGGACTGCCTACGCTCGGACTGCCTACGCTCGGACTGCCTACGCTCTGACTGCCTACGCTCGGACTACCTACGCTCGGACTACCTACGCTCAGACTACCTACGCTCGGACTACCTACGCTCAGACTACCTACGCTCAGACTAAATTTGGATGTGAAACTAGCGGTTAGGGGTGGGCGATATGGCCTAAAATTCATATTGCGGTATAATTTGGGACACAGACGGTAGACGGTATATATTGCGGTATAATTTGTTGTGTGAATTTCAATATAGGTTTAGCAGGTTCTTGCATAAAATAGTCAAGATTGTTAATTATTTATATATTAGAATCTAATATATATATTTTTTGAGTTAGAAAATCAGTTGTGAGATGAATAAAGAGACAAATAACATACATTATTTATGTATGTTACAGTAAATACCATTCACTGTAAAAGCAATTTTTAAAAAGAAAAACATATGCATTCATTTAAATATAAAAAACTCACAAATGTTGAAATCAAAGTCTGTAGGAGTTAGACATGGTCATTATTTATAGTGTCTGAGAGTTTTGTGCAGGTTCATGACTTCAGTAAAAGCTATTTTACAAAGCTGGTCTTGCCATTTGTTGACGCTCCCTAAGCGCTTTTCTCTGCGCTGGATGATTCAATGGATTTATGTTCATTAAAACAGCGCATTGGATTTGAACAATTGATGTAAATGATCATTTTGGCACAAATAATTTTGTTTAACAAAGTAGCTTTCGTGAGATATTGACCGCGGAGGTCCGAATCTGACGCTAACTTTCCCAAACTTCTGCTGTGATGCTGCGGACACGGCACACGCATGGATCTATTTTGGCTCACGCTGGCGCTTCGAGCCTACGCCCCTTTGACACTGATTGGCCAAAAGGTAGACTCTTAAACTGTGATTACTGTGTGTATTTACCTCTGCTGGGGCCGCTGTGACAACAATACAGAGACAGAAACACGGTGTGAATGCCGTGCTGTTGTTTGTTGTTTCCAGTGGTGTCTGCTAGGCTAATAGTGCTAGGCTAATAGTGCTAGGCTAATAGTGCTAGGCTAATAGTGCTAGGCTAATGCTGCTGAATGCCGGTTTGTTTTGGTCCTTTCTGCTGGCGTCAGAGCCTGCGAAATTTGATGACATAATGACCTATTGCAATATGCCGGTATAACAAAAATCTCTACCGTGGGCCAAATTTATACCGCATACCGCTTATACCGTTTATATCGCCCAGCCCTACTAGCGGTAATCTTTCAGTTATATATGTTGTTAGCAGTGCGGTGCTTTTGTACCACTTAATCAGTGATTGTTGTACAGCTTAAAGCTGCACTAACTGACTTTGGGATTTTGAAGCCGCGGACTCGCTGGCCTCGCTCTTTCTGCTCCCCTCCCTCACCCACGAAGCTATCGCCCCCACACACACCCAATGTTGTTGACGGAGCTAGCATCTCCCAATATGGATAATACATGGATATGGATTTGCACGTGGATGGCGTGACCATATGTGGCAAGCTGGACTTGGCCACCATATTTGTGTCCACCAGATGGCGCCCACGGGCAGTATAAATAGCCTAGATTTACGTCTATTGTTTACCTCTGCACTTCCGTCTCCTGTGTGTGGGTCGTCGCGCCAGCCCTCCTCCTGCTCCAGGTAGTAGTTTTAGTGTCAATTCTAATAATTGTAAGATTCAGCCACTAATGTTGAATTGTTGTTGTAGTGCCGCGGTGTGGCATTGTGCCCCGCGAGTCCTCTTTGTGCATGGCCACGCTGTCCAGTCGCTTTGGTGTCTGGCCGCCCTCATTGCTGGGGTCCGAGTGCGTCGTAGCCGGCTGTTGGTCTGGGCCTGTAAACCGCTACTCGTCAAGAGTGCGCGCTCAGTGCTGGCTGTGGAAATGTAGGTCTTAGCTGCACACACTGACAGAATTGTGGTTATGATAATTTAACTCTACTTTAATTCGTAGGCTGAGGACTGGCCACACCACGGCCCACCGCTGTTTCTCCCGCTGTCTCTCGTTTCTCACCATGTTGTATGTTTCTGTTGGGTGTTGTTCACCTGTACCCCTGAGTCCTTTGCAACAGGAAATGTGACAATGTGTGAAACCTAAAGATAAAACTATCACAACTTAAGAAATCCAAGTAAACTTAATGTCTGTTTGCCTCTTATGATTACGAACCTGTGCGCCTTAAAGCGCTTTTTATTTTATTTTGGGCACTCTGCCCTGGCGTTGCTGGGTTTTCTTTCTCTTATTTATATTGTCATATTATTTAAGGAGCGCGTAGCAGCCTCCACTTTGCCACACATAGAACAATTGAACCGGGAAGCGCGGAGGAACGAGACTTTCTTTTGGATGGCTGTCTCGCTGTGTAAGCAGTAACCGGTGACAAAGACGAGGAAGCTTCAGGTTAGCTCCGCCACTTGTTGTGCTAACTCAGCTGTCTATGCTAACGGACCTGTAGATTTCTCACAAAAGAGGGGGCCAGTGGTTCGCTGTGATTGGTCACAATCAGAGACTCGAAACATATTCTCTTCTTTGTTTCATCAAAACTCGATCTAAAATATAATGTCACACCAGCACAAACCTGTGCTACTTTTTCTTCAAAAGGACGTATATCCCAAAGCACTGCATGGACATGGATAGCATTTTTGTAATGAATACAAAAATAAAGTCAGTTAGTGCAGCTTTAAGTTGTGCTAATGCTAATGTTAGCATATAAATCACAAATAAAACTAGATGGCTCCGTAGGAGGAGAGCGCAGGGGAAATGAGAAGCCTGTGAGCGAGTTGGGGGCGGGGCAAAACATTCAAACTGAAATATCCTGCAGAAACAGGAATAGCTCCTTTAATGTGGGAGAAGCCAATCTGAGCTTATTTCCTTATATGGGCATTTGTTCTGATAGGGTGAGCTTTGCGTTGTAACAGGGGCATGTTACTAACACGGTTGCTAAGGCAAGCTGGAGTATCTCCTGTGAATGAAGACATCTGATTGGTCAATCCTTTTGGCTCAAATCTGGATTAACTCACAATACCAACATAAAAATACCGAATCACAGAGAGCGCTAAACCACAAATGCTCCGTGTGCCTGAGGAGTTTACTTCTCATTGTAAGTCAAAAGGAGAAAAAGTGAGTTGGAACAAAAGCACTTCCTCATTGCTTTCCCTCGTAAGTCTATTTGCAGGCTATAGTTTGTTAATGCAATGTTAACAACGAAAATGCTTGTTTTTGTCTAGTTACTGTATATATTTGTTGTTTTGTTGTAGTCTGTAAGTTGACTGGAGCTGGGTCAGTCCCAGATGCTTTGCGTGTGGAGCCCTGTGGTCAGACTGTTTACATTCGGCTGTAATCAGGATCCCTGGAGAAAAGCTCAGATCTGGGTCAGTTTTGGACCAGAGCTCTGGGGAAAGCACTACTACATATGTGGGGCCAGGGCTAGGGTTAGGGTTAGGGTTAGGACCCACTAGGTTAGGGCCCCCACTGGCTCCGGGGTTAGGGTTAGGGCCCCCACTGGCTCCAGGGTTATGGTTAGGGCCCCCACTGGCTCCAGGGTTATGGTTAGGGCCCCCACTGGCTCCGGGGTTATGGTTAGGGCCCCCACTGGCACCAGGGTTAAGGCCCCCACTGGCACCGGGGTTAGGGCCCCCACTGGCTCCAGGGTTATGGTTAGGGCCCCCACTGGCTCCGGGGTTAGGGTCAGGGCCCCCACTGGCTCCAGGGTTATGGTTAGGGCCCACACTGGCCCCAGGGCTAGGGTTGACCTTCAAGTCCTTCATGCTGCAGACCTCTTTGTTATTTTTATAGATACAAGCTCTATATTTGCTTTTTAACTTTTAGAATGGTCAACAACAGTTATTATTCTTTTACAAATTGCAGCAGAGGTTAACGATCATTTTAAATTTTATAATACAAGCTCTTTTCAGAACCTTTTTTCAGAACCCAGGGCTGCGTTTGCCACCAGTGTAAACTAAGAACAGCCACTTGGAATTATTCTGGCAATAAAATTATCTGTATGAACCTTCTTCTATGGATGTGATGTTTTTTCTTGTACCGAGACACATTTCTCCATCTAATTTCTGTGACAATGGGAATTTCATGTTTTTTTGCCAAAAGGGGGTGAACAATCGTCCACATAAACACAAAAGTGATCATAATGAATACCACACATTCATTGTTTGCACCTTTGCAGTTGGACAATGTAAATGAAAGTCACACCATAAACCATAGACCCAGAACCCTTTACCCGTTTACCAACATGTCTGACTCTTGTTCTTCCATCCATGTCTGTATTGAGAAGTCTTCACTTAGAGCACGTTCACACTTGAGCCGGATCAGTTCTGGTCCCTGCTTTATTAGTGGATGTAAAACCAAACTGAGAGTCACATCTTTTCAATGCTTTTCTCCCCAAGTGAACCAGAGATGGTCCGGTTCATATGGATCAGAGCAACACATCAAATATGATGAGACTTGTGAAAAAGATAAAGCAGATAGAACATTGACCTTGTCTGCAGTGAGCTCTCGGATCTTGATGATCTGGACTCTGAACTTCATGAGCAGCGCCTCCAGAACCTCACACTTCTCCTTCCAGTCGTCTGGACTCATGGCCTCCTCTCCCTCCGCCATCTCTGCCTGAAACAGACACAGTCCACCAAGGGTCAAAGATAAGCATTATAAAAACAGTTTTCATAGTGTAGTCAGGCGTTCAGACTTCTTTGTACCTACAGGATTCAAATTATGTATCACAACATAATTGTGATACATCTTAGAAAATCCAAAAAAGGAAAAAAATAACATTGCTTTCTTCTAGACGTGAATATTGAAGAGATAAATCTTGATTTAATGTATTTTCCAGAATTCTGAAACTTCTAGAATTCCCAGAGACATCATTCTGACTGGTCCTCTTCAAAACAATCACCTCACACACTTTATCTTTTTATTTTGCTGTGAATTTTTTCCTCAAATATAAATTCTCATGTGAACTTTAGGGAAAGGGAAGTTATATATAAAAAGGTAAAATAATTTGATTTAAAAAAAAAAAATCTACAAGCAATCTGGATTTAAATTTGGTACAAAGCAACATTTTACAGAGCTGTCTTTCAGATGGAACTACAAAACCTGGTGAAATATTGTTATGTAACTAAAATGCTGAATAATCAATCACAAATTCAATGTCCCGCCAGAAGCACACACTGTCAATAGAGCTGATGACTATTGGGGACATTTAGTTTACAAACCAGGGAAATACATGTGAATGGGAAAGTTGAATGTTAGCCAGGTTACAAGAATGGAGAGTAGAGTTTGCATGTTCTCTCTGTGTAAACCATGTACAGTGAAGAAAAACATACATACAAACAATGCTAGAGATACATGACAGATGTGAGAAGTCCTTGGAACAGCAGCCGTGCCCCATTTGTACACAAAAGGACGTAAAATTGTCCAAAAAGACGATTTTGCATGACATGTTTTATAAAGCTGCATAAACTGGCACATGTGTGAATTACACTATGACCAAAAGCATCAAAAAGCATCAACTCTGCATCTTCAACAATCATTTAAGGATAAGATTCTTTATTCATACCGCACTGGGGAAATGTCAGTGTTGCATCACCGGTTACAGAACAGTAGGAATGAGGAGCACACAGATCAAGATATCCATCCATCCATCTTCTACCCTTTAATACATTTCTGGGTCAGGGGGGTGGCAGTCAGAGAGACCACCCAAGTCTCATAGCACCAGCCCCTCACTGACCCTCTGCAGGTGGTGAGTCCACAGGAGGACGGCTGCTCTCTGACTGTGAGCATAGCCTTGATCTTTCAGTGGGGGCTTTGGGCAAAGTGGGGTTAAGTGTCTTGCCCAAGGACACAACGACAGCAGACATCAGTGGGAGTCGGTGGAGAAGGTGTAGAGGTGGGAATTACCCACGACCTTCAGGCCTAGAGGCCAATGCTCTACCAACTGAGCCACTGTCGCCCCTAAGATCAAGATAAATGGACAATAATGCTATACTAAAAAAAAAAAAACAATCTAACTTTAGCACGAAAAATAAGCAAATGTATAAAATCTACAACTTTAGCATAATGAAGTAGTATGTATAAAACCTCAAGCATACCCTTGTTCATTGAACAAACAAGCTCAATGCATGAACAGTGACAGACCAGGGCAGATGTGGCTTCACCTTCACAGCAAAGTCTGTTCCTTTTCTTTGTCTTTATGTCTAACATCCGCCAAAAGGATAACAAATGGTATTAAAAATAACTGGAGATATGAAGCCCCGTAGCTCTGAGGCTGAGACCGTTCCAAGTGCACTGAGCCAATGAACCGCTTCGACACACCGACACAGTTGATACAAAGCAAAGCAGTGATGCAGAGACACTGACACGTTTGTTTGTATAACATGTTCTGTTAAAAGCTGACAGAAACATCTGCTCTCATGGGCGGAGGCTCAGGTCTTTTGGAGTGCAGGGGCCACTCCTGAAGACCTTCTATGACTCTGTGGTGGCATCAGCCTCTTGTACGGTGTGGTCTGCTGGAACAGCAGCATCACAGAGAGGGACAGGAAGAAGCTGGAACATCAGGAAGTCCAGCTCAGTCCTGGGCTGTTCCCTGGACACAGTGTTGCCTGGCCTGCCAGACACTCCTCCTTTCTGTTCAAAAGAAGAACCGTCTGGACACCTCTTCCTAGCCTATCATTTCACGATTTTACCCACATCGGTCCAATCACGCACCGAGAGGCGGGACTTCCTTTCACCTTTGAGTTGCTAATAACTCCTCGTATCTTTAAGTTTTTGTTACAAAATCGACAGCAGTCGTTTACATTTGCACTAGCTGACATGCCGCCATCCCTTGTTTTGTGTTTACTGAAACGGCTTGGGTGCCGCTAGTTGCTGCGTCATATCCTGTGTGCATCTAATTGGTTGATGCAGTCTGTCAACCACGCCCACCGGGAATTCGCTGAGATCAAGCTCGTTCCCAGACTATATGTCTTTGAAAAAGCATATCGTTTGGCAGGCCAGGCAAGACACAGTGCAGCAGGTGGGGGACAGGAGGGTCCTGAGCAAACTAACATCTATGCTGGACCATGACTGTCGCCCCCTGCAGGACACTCTCTATGCTCTGGAGAGCAGCTTCAGTGACAGACTAATTCACCCTCGCTGTGTGAAGGAGAGGTTCCGTAGGTCTTTCCTTCCTGCTGCTGTCAGACTGTACAATAAGAACTGCTGAGCCTGTAAATTTAATTCATCTGTAATTAAGTAAATTCTTAAATCATGTGCAATGTGCAATACTGCAACTTCAGCATATCCACTGAACAATGTCTCTTTACCTCATGTCTCTTTACCTCATGTCTCTTTACCTCATGTCTCTTTACCTCATGTCTCTTTACCTCATGTCTCTTTACCTCATGTCTCTTTACCTCATGTCTCTTTACCTCATGTCTCTTTACCTCATGTCTCTTTACCTCATGTCTCTTTACCTCATGTCTCTTTACCTCATGTCTCTTATGTCTCTTTACCTCATGTCTCTTTACCTCATGTCTCTTTACCTCATGTCTCTTTACCTCATGTCTCTTTACCTCATGTCTCTTTACCTCATGTCTCTTTACCTCATGTCTCTTTACCCCATGTCTCTTTACCTCATGTCTCTTTACCTCATGTCTCTTTACCTCATGTCTCTTTACCTCATGTCTCTTTACCTCATGTCTCTTATGTCTCTTTACCTCATGTCTCTTATGTCTCTTTACCTCATGTCTCTTATGTCTCTTTACCTCATGTCTCTTATGTCTCTTTACCTCATGTCTCTTATGTCTCTTTACCTCATGTCTCTTATGTCTCTTTACCTCATGTCTCTTATGTCTCTTTACCTCATGTCTCTTATGTCTCTTTACCTCATGTCTCTTATGTCTCTTTACCTCATGTCTCTTATGTCTCTTTACCTCATGTCTCTTATGTCTCTTTACCTCATGTCTCTTTACCTCATGTCTCTTTACCTCATGTCTCTTATCCTCATGTCTCTTATCCTCATGTCTCTTTACCTCATGTCTCTTTACCCCATGTCTCTTTACCTCATGTCTCTTTACCTCATGTCTCTTATGTCTCTTTACCTCATGTCTCTTATGTCTCTTTACCTCATGTCTCTTATGTCTCTTTACCTCATGTCTCTTATGTCTCTTTACCTCATGTCTCTTATGTCTCTTTACCTCATGTCTCTTATGTCTCTTTACCTCATGTCTCTTATGTCTCTTTACCTCATGTCTCTTATGTCTCTTTACCTCATGTCTCTTTACCTCATGTCTCTTATGTCTCTTTACCTCATGTCTCTTATCCTCATGTCTCTTATCCTCATGTCTCTTATCCTCATGTCTCTTATCTCATGTCTCTTATCTCATGTCTCTTATCCTCATGTCTCTTATCCTCATGTCTCTTATCCTCATGTCTCTTTACCTCATGTCTCTTTACCTCATGTCTCTTATGTCTCTTTACCTCATGTCTCTTTACCTCATGTCTCTTTACCTCATGTCTCTTTACCTCATGTCTCTTTACCTCATGTCTCTTATGTCTCTTTACCTCATGTCTCTTTACCTCATGTCTCTTTACCTCATGTCTCTTTACCTCATGTCTCTTTACCTCATGTCTCTTTACCTCATGTCTCTTTACCTCATGTCTCTTTACCTCATGTCTCTTTACCTCATGTCTCTTTACCTCATGTCTCTTTACCTCATGTCTCTTTACCTCATGTCTCTTTACCTCATGTCTCTTTACCTCATGTCTCTTTACCTCATGTCTCTTTACCTTATCTACTTATTATCCAGCACTGTATGTACAGTACATAACTGCACTACTACATGTATATATTTTTTGACTGCTATTGAAGCATTTCCAGCATCTACAGCTGGAAATGCTGTTCTAGTGTTCCAAATGTTCTAGTTAAGAAACATAGCTACTACTTATTTTGTACATTTTGTGTGCTCTTACAACTGTCCTGTCTGTGCGCTGCAACATCGACATTTCCCCACTGTGGGACGAATAAAGGAACTCTTATCTTATGTTTTCAACAGATATGACCAGAAATGTTCCACTGCACACATGTGATCATCTCTGCACTTCCAAAACAAAATAAAACACATCTACTGCTCCATGAACTTTCCCAGCATTGAATCTATGTGCTCTTTTTAACAACACACTGAGTTGAGCGTGAGGCACAGATGGGGCCGATAGAAGAGCTTTGGTCTTTCTTATGTTGCAGTAACCGGTCATTAAGATCCGGGTGCCCTCACTAAAGAACTCAACATGTGCAGCAGCCGCAGTAACCAGTTATTTTGGCTGCAGTCTGTGCGGCGGAAAACACTGGAGACGCAGTGGAAAAGTCCCTCTCACAACAACCAGGGGACAACATACAGCAGGCGCAAATACAGGAATGTGGCGATCCCAAAACGCCCCTTTTTACAAACTATGGATTTACAAATGAAAGGACCAGTGAAAACTGCTTTGTTGGTTATGAATATACAGAATTTTATATTTGCTCCTTATTATGCCAAAGTCAGGGGTTTTTGTACCTTTTCAGATATTAAGACTTCATTCCTTATTATGCTATAGATTTTGTACTGCTTTTTTTTATGCTAGACTTAGAGATTTTATTTTAGTATAGAGTTTTATTCATTTATCTTGTGCTGTGTGCTCCTCATTTCTACAGTTCTGTAACTTGGGATGCAACACTGAAATTTCCCCAATGTGTGATGAATAAAGGATCTCTTAATTTTGAATATAGAAGAGATGGGCAATATACATGCATTAAGAGTTCCGAGCTTCCAGCTCGACCGCACGGCATTGTGGGTAGTTTTCTCAAAAAAGTGGGCATCAAATCACTCTGCCGTATTGGATTACATGTTGTGAACGTGATCTCTCTCTTGTTTTCAGCCCATAGATTGTTTTAATTCCAGACATTTAGAAGGTCAGGTAATGATTTTACCGAGGTGAAGTTGGCCGAACGTTTGATATTCGCCTGATATTCGCAAGGGACCGTCTGCAAATTGCAAGAGGTCAAAACGACTAATAAAGACTAAAAATCAACAAAGTTTTTCCCAGATTTGATGGGTGTAGTAGCTCCCATTTAATGATAGCTAGCTACTACAGCCAAACTTTTGGGAAAAATATGGTTTTCCCCTTCACAGTAACAAAAATGAAATTGGAAAAATTTACTAAAAATCAACAAAGACAGTTTTCCCAGTTTTGATGGGTGTAGTAGCTCCCAATGAACAATAGCTAGCTACTACAGGCAAGAATTTGGGGAAAATATTGTTTTCCCCTTCACAGTAACGAAAATGAAACTGGAAAAATGTACTAAAAATCAACAAAGACTTTTCCCCCAGATTTGATGGGTGTAGTAGCTCCCATTCAATGATAGCTAGCTACTACAGGCAAGAATTTGGGAAACATATTGTTTTCCCCTTCACAGTAACGAAAATGAAATTGGAAAAATTTACTAAAAATCAACAAAGACAGTTTTCCCAGTTTTGATGGGTGTAGTAGCTCTATTTGAGCAATAGCTAGCTACTACAGGCAAGAATTTGGGAAAAATATGGTTTTCCCCTTCACAGTAACGAAAATGAAATTGGAAAAATTCACTAAAAATCAACAAAGACTTTTTTCCCAGTTTTGATGGGTGTAGTAGCTCCCATTTAATGATAGCTAGCTACTACAGCCAAACTTTTGGGGAAAAAATATGGTTTTCCCCTTCACAGTAACAAAAATGAAATTGGAAAAATTCACTAAAAATCAACAACAACTTTTTTCCCAGATGGGCGGCACGGTGGCTGAGTGGATAGCACTCTCGCCTCTCAGCAAGAAGGTCCTGGGTTCGAATCCCGGTCGGACCAGGGCCTTTCTGAGTGGAGTTTGCATGTTCTCCCCGTGTCTGCGTAGGTTTCCTCCAGGTACTCCGGTTTCCCCTACCACTAAAAATATGTCCAATAGTTCTGGCATGTGCCTCCTGTACTGGCCCCGCTCCCATCTCTGTGTGGAGTGAGAGACCATCCATCCATCCATCTTCTTCCCTTTAATCCATTTCTGGGTCAGGGGGGTGGCAATCAGAGATGCCACCCAAGTCTCATAGCACCAGGAGTGAGATACAAATGCCCAAAAATTAACAATTGTAAACCGCTTTGAGACTCAGCTCTGCAGTGTAAAGGCGGTATATAAATAAAAAACTTACTTACTATTTGAGGGGTGTAGTAGCTCCAATTGAACAATAGCTAGCAACTACAGGCAAGAATTTGGAAATATATATATATACAGTGGGGCAAAAAAGTATTCAGTCAGCCACCGATTGTGCAAGTTCTCCCACTTAAAATAATGAAAGAGGTCTGTCATTTTCATCATAGGTACATTTAAACTGTGAGAGACATAATGTGAAAAAAAAATCCAGGAATTGACATTTTTAAAGAATTTATTTGTAAATAATGGTGGAAAGTAGGTATTTGGTCAATAACAAAAATTCAACTCAATACCTTGTAATATAACCTTTGTTGGCAATAACAGAGGTCAAACGATAACTATAGGTCTTTATCAGGTTTGCACACACAGTAGCTGGTATTTTGGCCCATTCCTCCATGCAGATCTTCTCGAGAGCAGTGAACACGGACTTTCAACTCCCTCCACAGATTTTCAATGGGGTTGAGGTCTGGAGACTGGCTCCAGGACTTTCAAATGCTTCTTACGGAGCCACTCCTTCGTTGCCCGGGCGGTGTGTTTGGGATCATTGTCATGCTGGAAGACCCAGCCACGTTTCATCTTCAAAGCTCTCACTGATGGAAGGAGGTTTTGGCTCAAAATCTCACGATACATGGCCCCATTCATTCTTTCCTTAACACGGATCAGTCGTCCTGTCCCCTTAGCAGAAAAACAGCCCCAAAGCATGACGTTTCCACCCCCATGCTTCACAGTAGGTATGGTGTTCTTGGGATGTAGCTCAGTATTCTTCTTCCTCCGAACACGACGAGTTGAGTTTATACCAAACAGTTGTACTTTGGTTTCATCTGACCACATGGGTTTTTTTTTCAGTCTTATACAGTGACTTAAAGTGACTTATTGTACAGTCTGACAGCAGTGGGGATTAAGGCCCTGCGGTAGCGCTCCTTCCTACACTGAGGGTGTCTCAGTCTTCCACTGAAGGAGCTCCTCAGCTCCTCTACAGTCCTGTGCAGTGGGTGGGAGGTGTTGTCCATGATGGAGGTGACTTTGACTAGACCCTCCTGTCCCTCACCTCCTCCACAGAGTCCAGGGAGCAGCCCAGAGTGGAGCTGGCCCTCCTGACCAGCTTGTTCAGTCTGTTTCTGTCCCGCTCTGTGCTGCCCGGGGCCCAGCACACGGTAGCGTAGTAAATGGCAGATGCTACCACAGAGTCATAAAAGGTCCTAAGCAGAGGCCAGCTCACTCCGAAGGACCTCAGCCCCCTCAGAAGGACCTCAGCCTCCTCAGAAGAAAGAGGCGACTTTGGCTCTTCTTGTGCAGGGCGTTTTTATTATGGGACCAGTCCAGTTTATTGTTAATGTGAACACCCAGGTACTTGAAGCTGTCCACCAGCTCAATGTCCTCCCCCTGGATGTTCAGAGGCGTGTGGGAAAGTGGTTTCCTCCTGAAATCGATCACCATCTCCTTGGTCTTACTGGTGTTCAAGCACAAGTGGTTGCGCTCACACCAGTCGACAAAGTCTGTGATAACCTACCGATATTCCAGATCGTTCCCCTCAGACACACAGCCCTCGATGGCGGAGTCGTCGGAGAACTTCTGCAGGTGACAGCTGTGTGTGTCGTGTGTGAAGTCTGAGGTGTAGATGGTGAAGAGAAACGGTGAAAGGACAGTGCCCTGAGGGGCCCCAGTGCTGCAGACGACCACCTCAGACTCACAGCTGCGCAGCCGCACGTACTGTGGTCGGTCCGAGAGGTAGTTGATGGTCCATGCAGTGAGGCTACTGGTCCACTCCCGCGTCCTCCATCTTCCCCCGCAGCAGTGCCGGTCTGATGGTGTTGAAAGCACTGGAGAAGTCGAAGAACATGACCCTCACAGCGCTCCCGGCAGGGATGACGGCGTCCTCTACTCCGATGTTGGGTCTGTAGGCGAACTGCAGCGGGTCCAGGGTGGGGCTGACCACGGAGCGGAGATGGGTGAGGATGAGCCGCTCCATGGTCTTCGTCAGGTGGGAGGTCAGTGCGACTGGACTGTAGTGAGCCGGTTCCTTGGCGTGCTGTGTTTTAGGAACCGGGATCACACAGGAGGTCTTCCACAGGACAGGGACCTTCTGCAGGCTGAGGCTCAGGTTGTACATGTAGCTGAGGACCCCAGAGAGCTGGTCTGCACAGGTCCTCAGCAGCCTGGGACTGATCCCGTCCGGTCCTGCGGATTTCCTCTGCTTCAGTCGCTGGAGCTGACTCTTCACCGGGTCCGGTGTGATGGAGAGGGGGGAAGACTGGGGTGTATTTTCAGAGGTGGGGGGGCGGGGATGTGGGGGCAGGAGGGCCCAGGGCAGCCAAAGGCAGTGTCCAGGCCAGCCAAAGGCAGTGTCCACTGGGCTGGGGACGTTTGAAGAGGTGGGGGCGGGAGGGGGGGGGGGCAGATGGAGAGGGGGGAGAATCAAACCGGTTGAAGAATTGGTTAAATTCATCTGTCCCGCTGGCCCTTTGTCCACAGAAAGAGATGTTCTTTAGGCCTCTCCACACGTCACGGGCGTTTCCCTGGGACAGCTTCTGCTCCAGCTTTTTCCCATATTCCCTCTTGGCCCTCCTGATCCTCCACTGGAGCTCGTGCTGGATCCTCTTCTGCTCCTCTTTGTCCCCTGAGATGAAAGCCCTTTTCTTGAGGTTCAGGAGGGCTTTAAGCTCAGAGGTCATCCATGGGTGGTTGTTAGAAAAACACCGTACCTTCTTAGTTGGTACAGTGTTATCCACACAGAAGAGGATATAGTCTGTAATACAGTGTGTCAGGCCAATATCATTATTCCTACTGTGAAGGGGAAAACATTTGTTTCCCCAAATTCTTGCCTGTAGTAGCTAGCTATCATTGAATGGGAGCTACTACACCCATCAAAACTGGGAAAAATATCTTTGTTGATTTTTAGTGAATTTTTCCAATTTCATTTTTGTTACTGTGAAGGGGAAAACCATATTTTTCCCAAATTCTTGCCTGTAGTAGCTAGCTATTGCTCAAATGGAGCTACTACACCCATCAAATCTGGGAAAAATGTCTTTGTTAATTTTTAGTGAATTTTTCCAATTTCATTTTCGTTACTGTGAAGGGGAAAACCATATTTTTCCCAAATTCTTGCCTGTAGTAGCTAGCTATTGCTCAAATGGAGCTACTACACCCATCAAAACTGGGAAAACTGTCTTTAAAACAGCTCTGCTTGTTACAAGTCTCTCCATGGCCTCGCACCAAAATATATTAGTGACATGTTAGTCCCATATGAACCAGCCCGGACTCTGAGGAGCACAGGGACTGGACTCCTGCTGGGACTCTGAGGAGCACAGGGACTGGACTCCTGCTGGGACTCTGAGGAGCACAGGGACTGGACTCCTGCTGGGACTCTGAGGAGCACAGGGACTGGACTCCTGCTGGGACTCTGAGGAGCACAGGGACTGGACTCCTGCTGGGACTCTGAGGAGCACAGGGACTGGACTCCTGCTGGGACTCTGAGGAGCACAGGGACTGGACTCCTGCTGGGACTCTGAGGAGCACAGGGACTGGCCTCCTGCTGGGACTCTGAGGAGCACAGGGACTGGACTCCTGCTGGGACTCTGAGGAGCACAGGGACTGGACTCCTGCTGGGACTCTGAGGAGCACAGGGACTGGACTCCTGCTGGGACTCTGAGGAGCACAGGGACTGGACTCCTGCTGGGACTCTGAGGAGCACAGGGACTGGACTCCTGCTGG